TTCTCACAGTTATGAAACCAACCGTCAACGGTTTTTTTTTAAAGAAATTTTTTTTTTCCGCTTAAGGAAATATTACTCGTAAAATTTCACATTACGTAAATTGAAAACCAGTACCAAATAAGGAACGGATGGTTATATGCGATTTTGTTCAGCTGTCTAAAATATACAACAAGCAACTGGCAGACAGGTGCAGCTGGCCGAAAGGTTAGAACGTTAGACTGTTATACAGGAGACCTGGGTTCGAATCCTCAGTAAGGTTAAGGAATTTTTATCTGACGGGGGGGGGGGGGGGGGATACCATAATAATTTGTACAGCACTAAATCCTCAGGCTCAAAAACCCCCCTCCCCCACCTCACCCACTTTTGCCTACACTGAAAAAGTTGTAAATATAGACAGTAATGAAGATGTGTCACAGAGATTTTGAATATAATAGGACAGGCAAAAACTGCATTTTACAAAATGAAGAACATTCTGTACAATAAATCCCTGTTATCGAAGGTTAGAAAAAGAATTTTCGAATGCTACATAGCGCCAGTTTTAACATACGGCTGTGAAGCCTGGACAAGCTGAACAATATCTTGAGGCCGCGGAGATGTGATTTTACAGAAGAATTCCTTTGACAGCTGATAAGAGCAACCAGCGTGTATTTGAAGAAGCGAATGCTCGAAGACAGCTTATCACACACAACAGAAAGAGACAGTCATAATTTTTTGGTCATGTTATGAGAAGATGGATAAAGGAACGTACTGTGACCACTTGAAAGATTCTTGACAGTCTTTTTTCATGGCATAGAGGTGTGTCAACATGCGAACTGATACACACAGTTGCAGATCGCATATTGTGGAGAGGCTTGATCGCCCACCCCAGTCGGCAAAGCACTTGATGATGATGAATGGCAGTTTTTGGCAGTACAAAGTATCGAACCCATACCTCGCTTGTTATGCATCGGTCATCTGGGTACGTTCCCTTATTTTTGGAACTAATTCACCCTCGATAGATAAAATGGTCAACATCAAACCTGCCACCTTTGCTCTCCTGAACATTTCCTAAATTATATTTTAAATGGACGCGGCGTCCGTGGCTTAGGCGTTGTGAGTCCTATTCGTAATTCCAACATACCGCGATTGAACACACTGCTGGCTGCGTGGATTTTATCATGGTCTACATTGCTTTTAGTAAATCTGCGTGTTTCTAACGGAGGAACTATGGAGAAAATGTGAGCAAATCTTGATAAGAAAGAAAGGAAAGCCAGGAAAAACCTAAATATACCAAAATATGCCAGTTCATTATCTTATACCAGTTTAATTTCAAATATGCCAAATTTGTGAAATATGGCATCAAAATGCCAATATGGCAACCTTGGGCTGAGTCACAGTGTGTTTCTCTTATCTTCCTGAGTTCTTTCTTGTGTGTCAACCTGTAGTTCATTCTCCTTATTATCGTGTCCTTGTACCCTCCAATGTCTTCCCGAATCTGTTCCCTTCTAGTCTGGCCAGGTTTCTCTCGTAACAAACTGAGCTAGTTCGCAGCTATACTTTCAGAAAACTATTTATAGTTTTAAAATATTGAGTATTTTACTCTGCCAAAAGTACTGAAAACAGTTTCTGGGTTTAGATAGATCGAAATTGTGAAAATAATTTGTGTCTGATCATAGCGATCTCGTAGATATCTTCCTGTTAAAAGAGCGGGTTAGTCATATAATGGTAATATCTATAATAAAGTGTTGAAGCGAATCAAATATGGCGGCGAACTTGAGAAAAACATTCAAATAATGACAATGCCGTAACATGCAAAATAACATACAATTTTTACATGTTTTAGTTGACTTTTATAAGTCAATTTACATATATTACGTCAGTAAAAGTCAAGTTACATATATTAAACAGGCATCTGAGTTTAAATATCTGGGAACACCATTCACTTAATATGGTAAACTGGAGGAAATAATTAACATCCAATGCAATAAAGCAGGCCAAGTATTGGGACAGCAAAAGGCAATCCCAATCAGCACCCAAAAAACGCTGCATTCAAAGCATATGTATTCCCACTCTATGCTATCAGTGTCAGACATGGTCACTCACAACAAAACAAAACAAAATTTAGTAACCATAGACATAAAGTGTCTGAGAAAAACTATAGGAGTGACCAGAAAAGATAAATGAGGAACAAGGTCATCCGAGATAAAGGAGGCTCAAAACCAATTGTAAATTACATACAAAGACGGCAAATCAAAAAGTTTTCCCACTTGGAGAGAATGCCTCCTGATGCTATACCATACAAGGCAAATACGAAAAGAGAAGAGGGACGTAGAGCAAGAGGTAGACTATGAATAAGATGGCAAGATAGCATTAGAGAAACTCTGCAGCACTACGATGTGTCTATGATCGAAGCAACCAGAAAGCACGAAGCAGGACTTTATATCTCCCCCGACACCCGAAGCGGTAAAAGAGAACGTAAAGAAAAAAGAAGAACGAAAATGAAGCAAGCGCAAAAGGTTAAAATGTGGACTGTTCATTGACTGGAGAGGATAAACGATGATGAATTAATGTTAACATAAATGAGAGAGAAAGGAGACGGACAGAGAGAGAGAGAGAGAGAGAGAGAGAGAGAGAGAGAGAGAGAGAGAGAGAGAGAGAGAAAGAGAGAGAGAGAGAGCTAACGAAAGAAGGAACATTATTTTCCAAGGGTCACTAATAGGGCACGCAGACCCGTCTCCCATTCAACCCTTTTCAAACACTCCTTTTTCGGACCGCAATTGTATTTGATTAAAAAAAAAATAGGTTCCTGAAAAAATATACATAAAATGAATATCAAGTAAAAGACACGAAAGATACGATAGAAGGTTAACAGATGGACTGAAAAGAGTGTGGGTGTGTGGGTATGTGTGTCTCCGGGTGAGGGGGGGGTGGCAACAATGTAAGAGCGCCAGACTCAGAAACAGTGCAGAGGCAGGGAGAAAGCAACACAGCCACACAGGAAGCGACAAAGTGTTTTTTTTACATGCAGGAGTGGTCCCAGACCTTGTGATGGAATCCTCGTTCAGAGAATTTTCCAGGGCGTTGCCGCTCCCATTATGCAGTGAGCAATATTTGATGACGGCAATTGATGTATCGTATCTCTGGGACCGCCCGTTCTCCTTTGATATTCATGTCATTCCTGCTTTTTAGATTCTCAGCGGCGCTGACACACACACACACACAAAAAAAATGGGAGCAATGGATGAAGCCAGCTCCCATTTACATTTAATTTTTAAGCGTAGTTGGCTAAACCAGACTGCGGGGTGACCGGGTGACGAACTCCTTGTGGTCCGCGTTCACGCCCGGGGGTAGGCAGAAAAGCCAAATTTCTCCCAGATTTACGGTATTTCTCATGGAATCAAGGCCGAAGGGTTGCGATATCCATAATACCGAGCCTAAGGGTTAACAACTTATGGCTTCTAGATACTAAAAAAACTCTCAAGGGACTGACCTAAGCCATGTTTAAGTGCATAGTGGTAATTATTATTACTATGCGCTGAATGCAGTGTACTACACGTGTATATATGGAAAAATATGAAATTGATACTTTATTTTTAATCCGCCCCAAACAAAAGAAATCCCGGAGTTCCCGGGAAAGTCCAATATTTTAGGGGTGTTATGGGTTAGGGTAGGGGTCGGCAAAACTCATAAGTCCAAAGAGCCATACATCAGCAGCAGAACGATTACAATTTTTTGAGAGCCAAATTTCTTCTCAAGAATCTGTCAAGAACCACGTTTTTCTTGGAGTCAAAACCGATTTGTGGCCGACAGGATGAGCCGCACGCATGTCGGTAAAGAGCCGCATGAGGCTAGCGAGCCGCGATTTGTTGACCACTGGGTTGGGGTTTTGGTTGGGGTTAGGGTTAGGGTTAGGGTTGAGGTTGGGGTTAGGGTTAGGGTTGGGGTTTTGGTTGGGGTTAGGGTTAGGGTTGGGGTTAGGGTTAGGGTTGGGGTTTTGGTTGGGGTTAGGGTTGGGGTTAGGGTTAGGGTTAGGGTTGAGGTTGGGGTTAGGGTTAGGGTTGGGGTTTTGGTTGGGGTTAGGGTTAGGGTTAGGGTTGGGGTTAGGGTTGGGGTTTTGGTTGGGGTTAGGGTTGGGGTTAGGGTTAGGGTTGGGGTTTTGGTTGGGGTTAGGGTTAGGGTTGGGGTTTTGGTTGTGGTTAGGGTTAGGGTTGGTGTTTTGGTTGGGGTTAGGGTTAGGGTTGGTGTCAGGATCTTGTCAGCCCCGACCCCCTTAGAGACACCGAATAGCCCTAACTCTGATCACAACCCTAACCCCAACCCCTAACATCACTAGAATATTGGACTTTCCCGGAAACTCGGGGATTTCCTTTGTTTGTGGCGAATTACAAATAAAGTACCATAAATTCCCTTCCCCGTGTGGATTTCAGGGTTCCGTTAAAATAAAAGGGAGGGGGGAGAGAATAGATCCACTGCCCACCTAACAAGCAAATCGTAAAATGCGAAGAATTAGGGGAGTTTCCTTCGAAGTCAAAGTGCACCTGTCTAAGAGTCAAGAAACCAACAGTCTACATATAAATAGGTCATGTCCTGTAAAACAGATGTGCACACAAAATTCAAGTTCTGGAACAAAGCTAAAGTCCAGAAGACGACGAACACCCAGAACCTTCCGCTGCAGTTTACAATCCGTGAACGCTAAGAAGGTGAAATAATATGAAAGCAAATCAATACTTGAAAGAGATCTTCTATACATGGTTTTTTTTCGGGGGGGGGGAGGGGCGCTAACACATTTATTGGCGGTGTCCCCGCCGTAAGTAACCTGGTTCTTGTCCTTGGTATTATTTGCGCCCTTTCAAGCTGATCCATCCCTGCCTCTTCTTCCATGAACCATACTTTCCGTTAATGTCCCCCCCCCCCTCCCCCGCCCCCACCCCAAAATCACGGAATACTTAGAATCAAGAATAACAGCAAAAATACAACTAAAGCTTCTTAGAAAGTACATTGGGCTTGCGAAAAGTTAAACTTCAAAATCTTTTCAGCAGGACACACTTGAAATCCTTGAGTCTGTGGACTACCCGTAGATATGTCTCCATTGCGGGCGCTAATGTGTCATCGGTAGGTTGAATGGTATAATGGCGAAGGATGGATGTGGTGTACAGGAAAAGCTGCATCCCGGCCATTTGTTCCCCGACACAGCGACGAGCACCTGGCAAAGAAAGGTCGGTTCTTTATTAATATCCTACTCTAGATGACGTCACAGGATAGTCCAACATTTTAGAGGGTGGTAAGACTGGGTTTCCCGGCTTTCTGATCCATTTAACTACCCCAAAACATTTAGAAATGGCCCTAACCCCAACCCATCTACGTCCCACCAGAGAATGCAGTCTAGATCCCACGACAGCATGCAGTCTAGGTTCCACGACTGCATGCAGCCTATCACCCCCTGAAATATAAAATTGTCCCGTAACCTGTGGATTTTCCCTCTTTGATAGGATAAAGAACTGAAAGGTCTCCATTAAGAAGCAGGTTTTCAATGTTGGAAGTAGTTACTCTATCTTGTTCATCAAAACAGATTAAAATATCTTGGAACAATTGGAACAGCCACAACATTGATGCAAGAAGCCCTGTAGAGATTAGAACAAGATTCGCATTAGCAAAAGCTGCACTTTGCAAGTCAAATAAAGGGGAAAGTGGTGGAGAGAGCGCGCGCGCGAGCGAGTGAGCAAGATAAAGAGAAAGAAAGAGGGGTTACTTTTATTAAAAACTGTCACTGTCATTATTGTCTGTTTTACCAACTTTTAGGACGATGTAGACCGGGTGATCGTGATTTAGTGCCGCATGGCTAGTGCTGTCGCCACGGACTGTGCAGTTTATGATGTTTAATGTTGCTTCTTCGACAGAAAAACTCCATCACCTTACCTGGGGTCGAACTCGGGTCTCCCGCATGAGAGGTCGACGTTGTAACCACTCGGCCAGCGCTCTCCTCAAGTTTCTTTCGTTGAATACATTTGCCTCATCCTTACCGGAATCATCAGCCAAACCCTAAATGAGCCAACCCTTTCCCCTGTCTGCCGTCACTGCATGGTTACATTCTTAAACTCTCTTTAGAAAAAAAAAATCAAATTGATGTATGACAAGTTAAACGTGTGTGGACTCCTGGGAGCGAGTGAACAGTGCGGAAGCGCAAATAGATCATTACGGTCTAAGGAGAATGGCGCTGCGAGGAGTTACCAGGGGATCTGACCGACGCTCAACACTCAAGCGAAGGGCGAGCCGGATATACAATCAGTTACTGGTGCTATCGTAAATGGAACTCTTCGTTTGCTGCTGAAGATGGGACGGATCGCTTATGGGGGTATCCTGAGTGCTATAATGTCGATTCTTAATTCAACATTCAACATTCTTAAACTCTTCTCTACATTGAAAAGTCTATAAATCAGTTTTGTACTCTCTAGATTCCTTCCGATTTCTTTTCCTGTCTAGCTCCTGCCTGCTGTTTGACTACTCTGAGATTACTTCTTCTTTTTTCGTCTCACTGATATAATATTGCTGCCCAGTGTCATGGTTTTCAGTATTTGTCTTGCGCTTCTCGGGTGGCTTAGGTGATGGATTTGTTAATCTTTTTGTAGGATTCGGCTACACCATTCATCCATTTCTTTCTTGGTCTTCCTCAAGCCTTCCTCCCATATGTGGTATTGCAAAAAGTCTCATACGCAGTCTGGCCTCCCTACATTCTTACTGGAAGGCTGAATAAATTCATTCTTTGTATGTCAATGTAATCCAGATATGGTCTTATTCCAACTTTCTCTCTGACGCTGGTATTCGTAATGCCGTCTGTTCTTGTTTTGTTAGTGACACTGCGGAGAAAGGACATTTCACGTGTAGTTATTCTCTGCTGTACTGCACTATTCATATCCACATTTGTTTGTTTAGTAGCAATCCGTGAGATTACAATATCTCAGTCTAGATGGGGTAAGCCAACAGGACAGATCTCAGACAATCCATACATCCTCCAGAAAAGTTGAAACAGATAGCGCTCGTTTTGATCATAAAGCTGACTCGAACTTAGGTGATCAGGTGCTTTTGTTGGGGGGGGGAGGGGGGGGGGCAGACAAAATACTGTCCCGACCGGCGACGAAGTCGTCTACCGGGCAACCCGATCGCCAATGAATTCGACCTGAAGTGCCAATGGTGGTGACTATCTTCTGCCTTCCAAGCATGTACATGGGAGACTAAGGGTGTGGGACTAAGGGTAAAGGGAAAGGGGCAAAAATGACCTACTGACCCCTGGAAATACACACTGACGCTTGGAAGGTGGTGGTTTGGTTTCCTAGCGGAGATTATTTTCAAAAGTCCTTGGCTCCCAAGTTGACCCGGCCTTAAGTGTGTACCAGGTGTAGTCCTGGGAAGTAAAGATGCATACATAGGTGTTGATCGCATCAACAACCGAGAACCGATAGGTCTACAAAACATAGAATTAGTCCTATACGCCTATTACACTTAAAGGCGTGGAAAGGGGGTTCTTTACTTTAGCTGTATATGAGTTTCACAAAACGGCTAAATATAGAATCCAAAATTAGAGGGAGAACACTGAGCTAATTTACAATTAAACACCACTTACATTTTTATTTCCCCTGCTAAGGTTTTTTTTTAATCGTGTTAATTTTTTTTATAAAGCTCAACATTGATAGAATCAATTATGCGCACACTTTATATCATTTGAAAGCAATTTAGCGTTTAAAAGTTTATAATTAGGAACCTATCCAATAAATATTTGTAACAGGAAATACATTTTATACCAAAATTAGCAATATTTGACACATAACCGCTGTTTCCGGATACTTTACTAGGACACATTATAAATATACTACACATTATAAATTATATTGTATTATATATTCATATTATATATATATATATATATATATATATATATATATATATATATATATATATATATATATATATATATATATATATATATATATATATATATATATATATATATCACCGAAAAGATCATTACAAGTTCTTTTCCGATGTATACAAAGACAAACGCAAGCTTTGTCTGCTAGATTCGAACCGTAGAAAGTACTGACCATACCGACATTTCTTTGGCTCTGTTGTTTGGTCATGCGTAGACCACATCTTGACCCTCAGAGTAATCACTGAAGAATCCGTAGAATTTCAGTCGCAGTTAATCATACAATTTGTAGACTTTCAAAAAGCTTTCGACAGTATCCACCGTCCTACACTTTGGAAGCTACTGAAAATCTATGGTTTCCCTACCGAATTCATCAGTGTCATAAAATCCTTCTACAATGAAACATGCTGCAGTGTAAGAACAGAATCCGGCAACTCTGACTCGTTCCCAGTGGAAACAGGATTGACCCAAGGCTCTGTGCTATCACCGAAGCTCTTTGGAATAACAGTCGATTGGGTCATGTGCAAATGCACAAACAACACAAATATGGGCATCAATGAGGTTGACAAAACTCTAGAAGACATTGACTTTGCTGACGACATAGTGCTGTTGAGTTCAACGCACCCAGATATCCGAGAGAAAACAAACCATCTCCAGAATGTTTCATGAATATCAGTCTCCAAATTAACACAGCAAAAACAAAAATTATTGATCTTATCAATAGTTCAGACAACTGCAAACTCAACAATCACATTCTTTAAAATGTCAACATCTTTACATACCTAGGGAACTAAGATTACATCAATATAGGAAATTCGGCTCCATAAATAACTGTCAAACATATAGAAGTCCAAGACACTCAGCCCACATAAAAGTCTCATTTACCAAATGCTCCGAATTTTCCGCCTTTAAAGCTGTAATCATTGAGAGAGATAAAAACTTTCAAACGACAGAGAAGAAGGAAAGAAGAAAGAATGAAAGAAAGAAAGAAAGAAAGAAAGAAAGAAAGAAAGAAAGAAAGAAAGAAAGAAAGAAAGAAAGAAAGAAAGAAAGAAAGAAAGAAAGAAAGAAAGAAAGAAAGAAAGAAAGAAAGAAAGAAAGAAAGAAAGAAAGAAAGAAAGAAAGAAAAAGAAAGAAAGAAAGAAAAGTTAAACAATTCATTATATCAATGAATAAAAATCTGGGCTATCCTCCAAATAACGGTCCCAAATTATCGAGGCCGAAAATATACCCTAACAGGGCCTTAGTCACATGTAAATTGCGAACTTCCGGCGACTACCGCCGCCGCCGAGAACGCGGCGTGGAACGGGGCTAAACTAGATGGCTGGGACTCACGAGCAAATAAAATGAAGGAAGCTGCAAGAGATGCGGTAACTGCTGCTCGTCAGTCCTAGCTATCTAGTTGAGCGCGTAGCGGCGTGGGAGATACTCTCAGCAGTGGCGGTAGTCTCCGGAAGTCCACAATTTGTCACCGGAAGTCCACAATTTAAGTCGCCTGAAGTCCACAATTTAAGTCGCCGGAAGTTCGCAATTTACATTTGACTGAGGCCCTGTCAAAATATATTTTCGGCCTCGAAAATGTGGGACCGTTATTTGGAGGATAGCCAAAAGCTGCTATTTTCTTACCTACACCATATGGACGGAAACATTTCGGCGGAGTAATCTGTCCTTTGTCAGTGAGGTGGCGCTGCGGCTGAAATCTCTCTGCATCTATGTATGCACGTGGGTCGTAATGTAAACTGTATATTCCACCCATAACGAATGTACCTCTGGGGATGGCGTATCCTTCAATCTGCCATAGATGACAGTCAAGTAGATAAGTAAACAACCATGTCTGGTTTTCGTCTTTTTCACGTTCACTGGCTGTAAACTCTGGCGGAAAGTTCTGTTTATTCAACCACCTCTGGACTTGTGTCTTGTTCCAGAACCTGAATGTTGCATGCACAAATCTTTTAAAAACAGATCTGACTTGTTTGTATGCAGATTTTTGGTTCTCTGACTCTCAGGGAGTTGCACTCCGATTTCGAAGGAAGCTCACAATTACTCGACTCTTACGACATGCTTCTTGGAAAGGCGGGGGGGGGGGGAAGGTCTGTTCTTGTTTTTTCCCCACAATCGCGCCCTCGGACCTACACAGGGAAACCAGATCTAGTGAAAGAATCCTTTTCATGCCAGTGGCTTATGGGACATATGATGCTACACCCATATTTCTGAAGATTATTCAGCGCTCGGTGGGTGATGTGGGCAGTTTCAACTCCTGTACTTCTTTTTCTTATCTCTACTTCTAGAAACCTCGCGGTCAGGGCAGGCCTTGGAACTGTTTGCTTCGTATGAAGTTCTTTTCAGTGTCTATGATATTTCTGCGGTCCATATTCTGCGTGGTCGATCTTTGGCTTAACCGTTGTATCTGTACAACATGGCCTTCTATGGTGCCCTGTCTGCTGTCAATCTTGTTACATGGCTAAACCATTCGATTTGTTGTCTACCTATAAAGTTAGCATAGTACGTAAACATTTCATTTCTATCGTGACTATTTTCCTTTTGCCTTCTATAGACAGTGTCCATGTTTGACATTGATAGCTTAACGTTGGTAAGAATATTGTATTAAACAGTGTTCTTTATGTGTTAATACTTACATGCTTACATCTAAAAATTTGTGCCATTTGGCCCAACATTTGATTTGCTTTGTTGTATCTTTGCCTTTACTTAATAGGACTACAGAGGACCCTTTTCCACTCCGTCGGGACGCATTGGGTATATAGGGCAAAACCTATATTTTAAAGACCAATCGACATTCGGTGGGTGATGGGGTCAACTTTCTTCCCAGGATTTTTACCTGGTATCCATTTAAGGCTGGGTCAACCTGAGAGTCGAGGTCGTTTAAAAAAAATAGTCCGGCTCCGTCAGGACCGGAACCCAGGACCTTGCGATCCGCAGACGAGGGTCTAGCGGCTACACCACGGCACTATAGCTGGTATCCATTTTAGGCTGGGTCGACCTGGGGAAAAAGGTTATTTCTGAAAGAAAAGAAATTTTGACAGTAAGGATTCGAAACCAAGACCTTCGGGTCCGCAGGCGAGTATCTAGCAGCCACACCACCACGACTTTCAGTAAAGAAGATGCTATCTCAAAAACAAATCAAAATAATGTCTTAGCAACATCTTCTTTTTCTTCTTCTTCTTCTTCTTCTTCTTCTTCTTCTTCTTCTTCTTCTTCTTCTTCTTCTTCTTCTTCTTCTTCTTCTTCTTCTTCTTCTTCTTCTTCTTCTTCTTCTTCTTCTTCTTCTTCTTCTTCAGCTTCCAGCCTGGGGAAAAAGAATAAGAAGGAGGAGGAGGAAAAGAAGAAGAAGAAGAAGAAGAAGAAGAAGAAGAAGAAGAAGAAGAAGAAGAAGAAGAAGAAGAAGAAGAAGAAGAAGAAGAAGAAGAAGAAGAAGAAGAAGAAGAATCAGGAGGAGGAGGAGAAGAAGAAGATGATGATGATCATTCTGCAACATCCTGTAAAGGATCGGCACGCAGTACTGGCACCTTTTTTTTAACCATCAAAGATTTGTCAATGCTTATTGCAATGAACACTTTATTGAAGGAAAAAAAGAGACTTTTGAAATACTTTGGCCACATTAAAAGACAAAACGCTTTGAAAATCTATACTGGAGGGAAAGGTCGAAGTCAAGAGAGCAAGAGGTGGGTAACGATACAAGTGGAAGGACACTATCAAGAGATAGACGGTAAGCAGTCTGAGAGAGTGTACAACTAGGACAAGAGATTTTGTGTGTTGAAGATCCAATTGAGCCAACCTTCCCTGTGGATTGATTGCCATTTTACGGTGTGTACCGTCGCCCTTTTTTATAGAAAATAAAAATAATTAGAAATTTCTTAGGAGTTTGAACATTTTTTCTGGGATTTTCTCTTGTGGTTTACCTTTTAGGGGGAGATTTTTCTCAGAGGTTGTCAAAATCTTTAGCAGGTTGGAAGAGTTAAACAGACAGACATTCTTACCTCTGTATCCACTGTAGCAATATGAGGCAGCGTTGATGGTGTAACAGCGCCCAGTCTTAAGCCTTCAATAATACAAGCTTGGATAAAAGGCATTTGGTCTTTCAAAGACCACGTTAACCTTCCTCCATTACCTTCTACGACCCTGTCTATCTCTTCCTGTGCCGTCTGCTGCATTTCAGGATTCTTCGACAGGTACATCAGAGTGAACTCTAAAGCAGACAGTGTGCTGGTAACTCCTCCAAAGAATAGATCAATCAGAGACTGCAGGAGCTCTTGATCTGAGATACAGTAATCATAAATTGGTCACTGGTACTAGCTTCTTCTCCTTCTTCTTCTTCTTCTTCTTCTTCTTCTTCTTCTTCTTCTTCTTCTTCTTCTTCTTCTTCTTCTTCTTCTTCTTCTTCTTCTTCTTCTTCTTCTTCTATCCTCCTCCTCCTCCGTCACCTCCTTCTTCTTCTTTTTCGTTTTTTGAATCATATTCTTCTTCTTCTTTTTCTCCTCCCCCTCCTAATCCTCCTCCTCTTCTTCTTCTTCTTCTTCTTCTTCTTTTTCTTCTTCTTCTTCTTCTCCTCCTCCTCCCCATCCTCGTCCTTCTTCTTCTTTGTAAGCTCCGGTGGAAAGTCCTCGTTCTCTAGAAAGGACAATATAATTTATGGAATTCAAAAGAAAAACACATCAGAATATTGCCCACAAGGACAGAACTAGGAGCTAGGTCCAGCAATGAATTCCAGCCTACTATGGGTCGCCAGAAATAGAAATGCAGATGAGATTACGAAAAACATATGAAACCTAGTGCAGCCCCACCTGTTTCTGGGCTTTTAAATGTTACAGACACTTTCAAAACAACATATGAAGTTGAAGTGAAGACCATAACAATTACAGACCACATCATCTAATAAAAAGTTGAAAGAAAGACGATACAAAATTAAATTGCCACTATATCACTCTGTTTGGTCGATTACAAAAGGTATATTTTATCGCAAGAAACAGACTCGACAACTTGACAACAGCTTAGGACAGCTAAGCGACAAATACCTTGTTGGCTTGGCCACGTGCATGGGGTGGTACAAGGGCGCCGTACGATCCAAGATTCGGCTCTACTGGCAAATCCGGACGAAGAATAAACAGCCTTGGACGACTTAGTGAGAGTTATCTCCCGTCGCCGCACTCCAAACAGTGATCGGAAAATCCACAACGAAACAAAGAAGACAGTCACGTCGACATCAGGGCTGCCAATGCTTGGTTGTTTCCCCCAGATCTGGTTTTTTTTTCGACGCTGCAGGACAATTCTGGGTGTTTTTTTTTTGGGTGTGTTTTGTTTGTTGGTGTTTGCCGATTTGTATGCTTTAATGATGGATAAATTTGCGTGGTTAGGGGGGTAGGGGTTAGGGTTAGGGTTAGGGTTAGGGTTAGGATTAGGATTAGGGTTAGCGGTAGGGTTAGGATTAGCGTTAGATTTGACACTTTTGACGCCGGAGTTCCCTATAATCGCGCACAGTCCCATACACACAAACAAACAATCGAGGGCCTCTGGATGCTGGTCACACGCACAATTCGCCAACGATTGGGGGCACCAGCCGCACGCTATTGGCGTCATATTTGGCAGAGTTTCAGTGGCGCCACTCCCACAAACATCACATTGTCGGCCAGTATTTCGAAATCCTACGTCAAAAAATTTTCACATCTAACCCTAACCCTACCCTAAAACCCTACCCCTAACCCTACCCCTAACCCTAACCCTAACCCTAACCCCTAACCCTAACCCTACCCCTAACCCTAACCCCTAACCCTACCCCCTAACCCTAACCCTACCCCTAACTCTAATCCAACAACCGCATGATGATGACTACACAACCATTCACAATGCCTCACGCAACCGTACGCAACTGTGCACGCAACCATATGATGATGCCACGATGTCTCACGCAACCGTACGCAGCCCTACACGCAACTGCAGGATGATAGGTAAGTTTGTCGTTTGTTTCGTTTGTTTTCCGATTACTGTTCGGAGTGCGGCGACGGGAGATAACTCTGACTAAGTCGTCCGTCTGTTTATTCTTCGTCCGGATTTGCCAGTAGAGCCCAAGATTCTGCTAATCGTCTTGGATGGCCAATGATAACCTCCAATGAATTTCGGCCGGGTACATGATAATGATAATACTTTTTTTTTTTTAAGGCGGGGGGAAAAGGAGCTGGCGTGCTGAAGATTTTTTTTTTTTTTTTACTGAAAAGGGGGCAGTGGGCCAAACAAATTTGCGAATCACTGGTCTAGTATCTTTCTGTTTTTCTGCTTATTTCTGTCAATACATGTATATTTTTAGTTAATATACATAACATTTTCTCTCAAAGGCCTAACTGCATCTCTAATACTATTCCAGCTTTCCAGTTATCCTGCAATATACGGTTTATCAGTCCCACATATGAACATAAAGCGTACAAAATATTCACCGCCTACCATTTTTTTCTGTGACTGAGGCAAACACCGGCTGCTTCAGAATTCTCCAAAGAACTGGCTCATTGTTGTCGTTATGTGACACGTGTTGAGGGAAGGGCCAGTGACTTTCTGTCAAGACTGTATTAGGATTCTGCGTCTGTGGAATGTCTGTACCCGCATAAGGTGCTTTAATGCTGGTTGCTTCCCCAAAAACTGTGTTGGCAGCTTTGTAGTCAAGACCATGGAATCTCTTTTCACAGCCTCATTTTTAAGAGAAGGTGAGGAGAGCACATGGGGAACAGTCTGCTTGGGAGATCGCTGACTACTCTCCGGTGCCTGTGCTAGAGGAGCAGAAGAAAGTAAATCGTTGCGAGCTCGGCGTATCCAGGCACGAAGAAGTCTCTGCAAGATCCGCGATGATTCATGGATATCCGGGATATCCCTGAAGAAGAGTTTTGATAGTGGTAGTCGAAGCCTGAAAATTGGACAGCAAAGTTTAATGTTTTTGATTTATAAAACATCTTCCTGATTTATCAAAAACAGTAAAACGCTACCCATTTTGTATAAATAAACAGAGGGGGGAACCATTTGAGGCCGTTAAATATTATGAATTAATCAAGTAACAGAAAGTATTGTGAACGGCACTCATAGAAAGAAGTAGAAAGATAGAAGAACACACTAGACAACATAAAAATCGAAAGCTATAGTTACCGTGCCGGGAATTGAACCTGTCACCTCCAGACGGCGTCTGCGCCTCGCCATGAATACAAGTGCACTAAGATACATGGTCAACTAGGCACCCCCAAAAAAAGGTGTCTCATTGGCCATGTCTATCGTACAGCTTGAAATCCACGACTATGGAATACGGACAGAATTCATTTCAACCCATTGAAATGGCACCATAGGTTACAGAAATTTATATTAACGAAGCAAATGTCGAATAACAATCACAGCAACAATTTACGAACACAGTAAGACCTTATTGCTTTGTCTAGAATACACAAACATTTAAGAAAGGTATTTGTTGTGAGCAATGGTGATTCGATTATTTTTAACTAGACTGTTTTAGGTGCTCGACAAGACCTTCCTTGCTTGATTCTTGATATTTTTAAGCAGTACTTTAAAATTATGAACTTAAAGAATAAAGGCACAAATAATATATTGTACTGTTTTTTGCCTGACATATCTGACCTGAAAAAGAAAGATAGTCCTTGAGGATGAAAATATGCGCTTTTGCGCTGAAATACTATTGAATGATTCTCAAAAAACCGACGGAAAAGAAATACTGACATACTTAAAGATCTGAACATCAAGGAAAATTGGCGAGTAAACAGCCAATGTGTTGGACACTAAAATAGATTGTCGTATCAAACGCTACAGCAGACTGGGAGTTGGGAGGAATAGGAGGAGGCATGGACTTATGAAAGGCTACTGTGAGGGGCAGACGAGCCATGGAAAGAGGGGCAGAGGTCAGCCAGAGTTGAGAAGGGCACAAGATAAAAGTGACGCTTAGAATAGGAAATAGCTCGAGGGGAGAGCTGGTGAGCAGGGCTGCCATTGATGGGTTTTTGGCCCCAGATCTGGGTTTTTATTTGACAAATTGGGTTCACATTCTGAAATCAGGTTTTTTAAAAATATATACTTATATAAAAGTGGGTAAATGTTCCGTTTCGTAACTATAAAATAAGTGCTTTTTTAACATGCTTATGTATTGCTTGGGTTTTTGTTCAGCTTAGCTGGGTTTTTAAAAAAAATCCTTTTGGCAACCCTGCTGGCGAGACATCGAGTTTCTCTGAGGTAGACTGTGATGACAGCAGCGTTCTGCAAAGAGCCTGCTGCCTGATGACTATGAAAGATTCTCATACTGATGTATACGAGAATCATACTGATACTCTTCGTGAACTGACTCTGATAAACAGTAATGTTTCTCGTAAACTGAAATCAGTTAAATAAGTAAACGTAAAGGGTCATTTGGTACGCATTCAGACGTATGTGGCATATAGAGCTAGCCATGTTTTATAGACCAATTACCTGCCGCCTTTACTTCTAAGGACTTCACTCGATACCTACTCAAGGTTGAGTAGACTTGGGAGCCAAGGTAATATCTGAAAAAAGTCCGGTCCCTTTCGGATTCGGACCACGATCTTCAGATCCGCAGGCGAAGGTGTAGAAGCTGAACCACGGTGACTTCATAACTGAAATAATTTGGCCATATCAAATACTATCGTGGTTTGCAGAGAACAGTATTGGAAGGTAAAAAATAAAGATGGGCTGGGTTCAAAGGCACTGGCTGGTGTCTCTGAGGCGGCCGGGGCTGGCAAAGATCAGTTTCATGTTCGTGCCAGGGTATGCAGGCGTGTAAGGAAATGAGTAAGCTGACAATGTTTTGCCAAAGAGAACAAAGTTACTGTGATCTGCATGACTAGACTGCGGGAACAGCACGTTAAAAGAGATATGGCCAAGCAAGAGCACTATACAGAAGCTACAGAAGATTGAGAAATGAACACCGAACTAGGATCTTCAACTGCGGGATTTATTGAGGAGGGGATCAGAACACTTTATGCCAAAAAAGTTCCATGTGCAATGAGGACAATCTGTTGGAAACTAACTACCGTATTTACGAGTGTGTAGACAGCAGTATTTGAACAGATAAACAACATTAAAAGCATATGGTCAAGCACCAGCGCCAAAATAGAAACTAAAATTTTGAGAGCATGCATCTTCCCCGTACAACATATGGATGTGAGTCAAAAGAAAGATTTTCAGAATTAACTACTACTTTTTTTCTAGTGCTACTAGGAAGGTTAGTTGCATGTCCTTAATCGGACGTTGCAGAGCCAACCCCAGCATTTTTTGGCTATTGTAGTTTTTCTAGTCAAGGTTACGTTCAGTAGTTTGCCATTGCTTCCTTACGGTTGGCTCTCGATACCACTGTTGAAACTAACGCAATGCGGTCTGCTGCAGAATCGGATGCAGCTTAGATCGAGCCGGGCACCCTGGCACATAGACGTCGACAGTGCTTCTACTACCACTACTAATACTACTACGACAACTACTCCTGCTGCTGCTTCTATTGCTACTCCTGCTTCTAGTGCTGCTGCTACTATTGCCACTACTGTCACGAGCAATACTAGCAATAATAACAATACTGCTTATAGTACTACCACAGCTTCGAGTGTCGCTACTGCAACTACTTCTAATACTACTGCAATTACTACTAATACTACTGGAACTACTACTAATACTACTGTAACTACTACTAAAACTACTGCAAAAACTACCGCTGCAAAAAAGCACTTACTTGGGATGCCTCAATGAAATCTGTGTCAGTATTGAACTTAGATCAGAACCTTCCATATTTAGGGCAACTTGTCCAATTTCTCTCCTTTGTGTAGACTCTTCAGGCAGAGATTCGCCCAACATGAGTCCAGGAATAACATTTGCGCATGCGTGCAACATCACATCACCAATCTTTACTTGTCTATTACATCGTGAATTCAAAATTTTTATCACAATCTTTAGTTCTGACTGAATGGCGTCTTCCATGCTTTCCACGAATGATCTTACTTGTAGAGCTTCCATTAGGGCATGCTTATTTTTCTTCCAGGCATTTCCACTGCCAAATAGCAGACCTATGGATAATAAAAATAATCTATATTGCTCAAAAAGAAAATATATAGTTATTTAATGACGTTTTACTAGGTAAAAAGTTCATAGCTATTGAAAGAAGCATAATTTTGTCATAATTGCACTATCAGATAACTCTAATTTCTAAGCAGGTAATAGCACAGCAACCAGATAACTATTAAAATTTGATAACCTGAACAAAAAAAAAGTTAAAACGAAAAAAGGGTACACGTAACGAACACAGGGCCAGCACACTATGCTGAGTAACACTGTGACTCGACATTCATTCATGCGTCTTAGCCTTTCAGACGGGTAAGTCTAAGTGGCAGGGGTGTCAGATCGGTGCGACGTTGTATTGCGTCGACAGTCTTACCGGCGACTACGCGTCCACTATATTACAGGATGTGAGGGTTTTAACGACCTCATAACATGTACAACTAGCTCTAACCCCAACCCTCTACTCCACACATTGACCAAAGGTCCCATGGTTTCAGAATTCTTAACATTTTGCATCAGCAACCACTAATTCTTCTTACAAGTGAAAATTCAGTGTTGGCGACCGCTGTTTACAGAATAACGATGAAAACGGAACGCATAAACTTTCAGTAGACAACAGTACACCAGGATACCCCTCTAACGCAGACCAGCCTGAGCAAGCGTTATTGACAGGTCAGCTAGTGTGTAGCTGGGCTCGAGTTTGTTGCTGGCAATAAAGAAATAAAAATTAAAAGTCGAGTCACCGGGGCTGTGTCCCAACCATAGTTTACTGAGACCTCGCCTCGAATTATTTGTGTGTGTGACATTGTTTTTTTTTTTTTTTTACCTGTTACTTATTTGCGAGATAGCATGGTGGCCTCCGTGAAGAAACGTTGACAAGACTGGTAAATGTACAGTAAGGCAAACTCACTTATAATACAACCAGGCAGCCTGCTACAGAAATAGTTAGAGGGACCGCTCATTGATAGGACGAATGGTTGGTTAGCCAGGCAAATTGACTTTTGAAATAGTGCCTTTTAATTTGAAAGAAAAACACACTGTAACTTTTGGACACAACCAGCAGCCGACCGTGGGAATGGACATCAAGTATTCCAAAGGAGAAAGACATTTAGTGAATTAAAGTGTACTAAGATGACTTAACAAGAAACTTTAGTGAACGAATGACTTAAAGCGTCATACAGGAGAAATACATCAAGTGGTGTCGTAATGAAAAAAGACATCAAGGCAAGTACCTGATATGTCAAAACACATCGGTGGACAAGTGACTTAAAGTGCCACAAAGGAGAAAACCAAGATCGATTGATTTCTCGCTGGAGAAAGACGTCAAACGGCTTAAGGTGTGCCAAGGACAGTGAACGACCGAGAAGCATAAGTTGACAAGTTTTAAAACGTGCTTTAAGCTCAAAAGACATAAGTGACGTAAGACGTTCCGATGGGGAGAGACATCAGGCAACTTATGGTGTACCAGTTTCAGTGCATGACAGAAAAAGCACTATAAGGAAACTCTCAAAACTGCTCTTAATTCTTTTGGCATCAACACAGAGACGTTGGAGGCTGTTGCACACAACCGTTCTGGATGGCGTACATCCCTCAGGCATGGTGCATTAGCCTGCCAGGCAGCAGAGGTTGCACAGGCAGAGAAATTAGAAGAGAGATTAGAAAGATGCTGACAGAAGCTAAATCAGTACTTGAAGCACTCCAGTTTAGGAAACTACCAGAATTGCAAACACTGCTGACACAACTCAGCCTTCAGCGAAGAGTCCTAATGCAGTGGATACCGTCTCATTGTGGAGTGCCTGGAAATGAGAAGGCTGATCAACTGGCAGGGGAAGGTGCGATGAAAGAGCAGCCGGATGTACCAGTCACATACCACCAAAAGAAAAGAATCATTAAATCGATCAGGAAACCACCAGTCCCAGCACAAGTCGACTATTTTATTATGGACAGACCAGAACAAGTCATTATCCTCCGCCTCAGAACAGGGCACAACCGATTACGCAACCACATGTACACAAAATGCAAGATAGGTGTATCAGCCATGTGCACCTGTGGAAAGGTGCCCCAGACAGCAGAGCATGTACTCCAGGACTGCACCGAATTTGACACATTAAGGCAAACCTTTTGGCCGGAAAGAACAACAGTGGAACGTAAACTCTATGGAAAACTGAATGAACTAACAACGATAGTGAAATTTATACAAGAGACAAAACTGCTGATATAGACAACTTATTTCAGGCGAACGAAAGAAGAAGAAGAAGAAGAAGAAAGAATAATATCGCTAATCCTACACTTACTGATTCCATCTGTTGTCCGCACTACTCAAGAACTTTCCAGGCTCATACTGAACTAATAAGCCACCTTCGCACTCAGAGTAATTGATCACTGCTATTTTTGGATGAAAAGTAGTCTTCCTCACTCGTGGTGGACGAACAATACCTGTGCAATCCAAGATCTCACTTTAGTCAACCTGTGATCCTTAACTGTATTTGCCTTGGACTAAAAGAGTTAAATTCCAACACACTTAGTGTAGCAATACTCACCCTGTGCTATCGCTGCAGGTCCTGCAGGACGATCAAGAAACAATTCGCCATTGCTTCCTTCCAAGTATATCTCCACTAGATCCAAACTATTTAGGTACACAAGGGTTCTGCTGCCCATTTTCACTCGGTAGATATCGCCGAACTGTTGCGTCCAAGCTAAATTTGTCTTCGGGCCCTTCCACTGAAACAAAGATCCGACAAAAGGGAGTCCCTTTGGTCCTGGCAGTTCTTTAGGGCGAGAAATAACAGCAGATCCGTGATGCTTTGACATGGCGATATTCTGGTAAATAATGAGTAAATTTTATGTAATAAAAAACACAAACCTAAGAAGATCAGCGAGAAATAACGGTACAACCGTGGTTTTTTAATATGGTGAAAAGTATGGTAAATAATCAGTAAACTTAATTTAAAACAAACACACATTTCTACAAACTTTAAGATAGAAAGAAGTAACGACAAAACCGTAATGTTTTGGCATGTTGATATTCTGGTAAATTATCAGCAAACTTCATTTTATAACAAACACACATCTGTAAAAACTCTAAGAAGATCAGCTAGAAATAACCGTGATGTTTTAGCATTCTAGTCAATAACACTAGTCAACAACCAAAATGCACCAGAATGAATGCTGAATGATGAATCAAGAATCGACATCACAGCACTTGGGACTGTCCCATAAGCGCTCCGTCCCCATCTTCAGCAGCAAGTGAAGAGTTAAAATTCCGATGGTACCAGTAACAGTCTGATTGTATATCTGTGTCGCCCCTCCCCCGAGTGTCAAGCGTCGGCCAGATCCACTTGTTACTCCTCGCAGTGTCATTCTCCTCAGACCGTAATGATCTATCTGTTCCTCGGCACTGTTCACTAGCTCCCAAAGGGCCCTCAAAATATCCAGCTTGTCATACATCAGTTTACCACCAAGTGGTGCAGAACCGGCCAGTCTATCCGCCTGCTCATTTCCCAACACACCGGCGTGACCTGGAGAAAATATCCAAAGGATGCCAACTACCCGGAACCTCTGAAGTGATGCTTGCCACTCTGCACGGAGCATGCCTGTCTCCACCATTCTCAGCATGTTCTGTGAGTCAGTTACAATGACGACATGTGTGTTAAGCTGATTCTCAAGCCAACGGTAGGCAGCAGTGACTGCTTCCACCTCCATTCTCAAACTAGACGTTGTGATATATGCCAGGCTTTGTTGCGCTAGGCTTGTAAATACTTATCCGAAGCCGACTCCCACCGATCCATACAGCACTTCCTCTTGGGACTACTCAGTGCTCACGCAGCACCTGCAAAACATGTCCTTTCGTTGTCCAGACTTCTTCGGTCAGTTTCCCTAATGGTTCTTTTCAAATTAGGGAACCTTTTACTTGCGAATCCCGCAACGTAATTTATTCAATTATCTGCAAACGATGCAGCATGGCATACATTGGGGAGACTGGCAGGAAGCTAGCTGATCGTTTCCGGGAACACCTCTCTGATATCGACAAGAAGACACTCAAACCAATCCCTCTTCATTTTAATAGCCCTGACCACAGCGGTAAAGATGACATATCTGTCACAGCATCAAAATCTTGCTCTGGCGATCATACTACCCGCCTCGCTTTGGAAAATCGCCTTATCCACAGCCTTGGCGTTCTTAGTCCAAGAGGTATCAATATCCAACATACCTTCATCTAAATAGTTCTAATCTTATTACATTTTAAATGTTAATTATTTTATTTTATTTCATATTATTACCATATTCTATTTCTTATCAATATCATTTATGTATCATTAACACTTGCATTTCTTTTATTCCCAGTATTGTGACTATATTTTTTAGCCATCGTTTATTTTATTTTATTTCATTTATTCCGCATCACATTTTTTAAACGTCGCTCACGTCACCCCTTAGAGATCTACATACTCTCCATTCCTCGTTTGTGTAGTCCACTTGTGTTTGAAAAAGGCTGCCTGGCCGAAACGTTACGTTGTGTTGTTTTGTGCACGTTTTCCTCTTTCCCATTTTGTTGAGCTTTTTAGTCAAATTTCTCTGGAATTCATGGAACTTTGTGAACAACATTCTTTGTTCCATGTCCATTGCTGCCATAATCTTGAGAGCATTGAGTCCTTTTTTTTTTTTTTTTTTTTGCATTTCACTGCAACTGCATCCACATGATCCCTGAAGGACAGGCTTCTATCGAAAATGATTCCCTGGTATCTCAGTTTGCTTTCTCTTTTCATGTTACTGTTATGAACTGTGAGGTTTGGAACGCCAGCTTTTACAATTCTATTGTCCAGAGAACAGCACAAATTAGCTGCCTTTTCTGAGTTGATGACAGCACCCATTTCTGCACACCAGTCAGTCACTTTGTCTACAGTTGCGTGTAGCTCGTGAGCTATCCGTCGCCTATCTCTCCCCTGCCTATATGCAAGAACATCATCGGCAAATGTCAATATTCTCCCAACACCTGTTGATTCAAGTTCTGCAATCCTGCTTGTATACACATTAAAGAGCACTGGTGAAATTGCAGAACCCTGGGGTAGTCCTGGGACGATATTACATGGTTCTGAGTGCCATGTACCCAGGCGAAGGGCTAACATACGTGATTGCAGGACAGCTACTATCCAGTTCACAAACCACGGACAAACCCCGTTCTAAACCAGAAATTAAAGTAGCTGATCTTAATTAAATTTGGTGTGCTGAAAACAAAAATGACGTTACAAAATGTTAAATGGCTCAAGTTTTAAAGATATAATCTTTATATAATATAATATAAACTTAATGAAAGCCAAATTATATATGTGACGTAACTGTTGTGGCCGGTTGCATAATTTCTGTAAACAGAAATTTATCACCAGTCTTACCTATGATTGCATTACCTTTGTGTATACATATCTTATATCTGACAAAAGTTTGCCATTCTTAGCTAGTGTCTTTATCTTTATTAATTCTATCATCTTAGAAATGCCTAGGGTGTGTGGGAGCAGCGCTGATAACTTCACTTATGTGTGTGGCGAGGTGACATTTCTCTCACACACAAAAACTAAATAAAACTGAAGTGATTAAAAAAGGCAAACGGTTTGTATTTGGCTGCAGAATAAAAGATAAATTAAAGCATGTGCAGCCAATCCCAAACTGTGGTTGACTAGCAATGGGCAATCTTTGTCTTTTGCAGCCCCAGTGATTTGGAGAGAGCCTACTATCCCAACAACTGTTACTGTTGCATGGTCCCCCCAGCTGGGAAAGGCATATTAAAGAAGAAGAAATGGCTCTGGAGTATTCTAAGATCCCCTCCCAGCTGGGAAAGGCATATTAAAGAATAAGAAATGACTCTGTGGTATTCTAAGATTCCCTATGAAATACGTTCGGTACCACATGGTGATGAACGACCAGTACCAGTGAGATAATTATTTTCAACTGCTTTCATCGATGAAGAAATAGGTCATTAGTGGCATATAACCACCAACCTCAAGGGACCTAGATTTTGAACAAACTATATTCACTATAGCCACAGCAATGCAAAGATTGAACAGCCTTAAAAGTCTATGGTTAAGCACCAGCAAGGAGATAAAAATTAGAATTCTGAGAGCATGCATCTTCCCTGTGGCTACATATGGATGTGAGTCGTGGACTATCTCTCAGTAATTAAGAAAGAGAATAGGGGCATTTGAGCTGAAAGGCTATAGAAAGATTCTCAAAATATCTTGGACAAAGAAGATGAGAAATATTAACATCTTAAAAGATCTGAGCATCAATGAAGATTGGCTAATAAACAGCATCCTTTCTCGAAAGCTGAAACATTTTGGTCATATCAAGCGCCACGAGGGACTGGAAAAAATTATAGCAGAAGGCATGGTACCAGGAAGGAGGGGCAGGGGCCGACCGACACGAAGATGGGCACAGGATATAAGTGACTCCTTGAGTGTGAAAGTGCATGAGGCGGGAGAACTGGCGAGAGACCGAGTTTCTTTCAGGCAGACTGTAATGAGAGCGACGTTCTGCAAAGGACCGGCTACATGATGATGATGACATTCACTAAACCACACTCAATAACCCAAAGTAAACTGAGTGATCTTATAAGAGATTTGAATTGACCGAAGAACAAAGCAGGGCTTTTGGTTTCAGATTACAACAGTGGAATCTCCTAGTAGAGCATGTTACAATTTCGGTGTATTAGAAACGGCAGAAGCCACTTTATATATATATATATATATATGTGTGTGTGTGTGTGTGTGTTGTGTATGTATTATATATATATATATAGAATATATATATATATATAATGTGTGTGTGTTGTGTGTGTGTAATGTATATATATATCATATATATATATATATATATATATATATATGTGTGTGTGTGTGTGTATGTATGTATATATATATATATATATATATATATATATATATATTCTTCTTAGGTATATATATATATATATATATATATATATATATATATATATATATATATATATATATATTACCAAAGAAGAATGAAAATTTCTGCATGCCACATTTCTGGGCCAATGACAGCCCTAAAAATCAACCACAAACCGGAAGAGGGAAGGCTTTTCATTGACTCATCCAAGACGAGTCTTAAAGGTGTTTTGTAGAATAATGGTAATGTATTACCATCAATTCCAGGTTTTCAGGCAGTTCATGTGAAAGAAACTTATGAAAGCATTAAGCATCTTTTGAAGTGTATAAACTGAGATCATCATCAATGGTCACTTTGCGGCCATTTAAAAGTGATCGCTTTTCTGTTTGGACTACAGGGTGGATATTCCAAGTACTGTTGCTTTCTCTGTGATTGAGATAGGCGTGCACAGCATGGCCATTACATCAGATGATACTAGCCAATCAGGTGGTCATTGCAGCCTGGCAGTAAGAACGTTGAAAACCCATCTCTTGTCGACACCAGCACGACTGTGTTGCCACACTTGAACATTAAGCTGGGTCTCATGAAAAACGTTGCCAAAACCATGCAGAAAACAGGTGATGTTTTCAAATCTCGCATCTGAAAATTTCCAAGACTGAGTTAAGCTAAATTAATAAATTTCTTTACGATGAGGAGTTTCTTGGCGTGTTGCATGGCAATGAAAAAAGCAACATGGCTAGCATTTAAGTAAGTGGTGAAGAATTTTCTTGGAAAATGACAGATCTGATAACTACACTGAGATTGTAGAAAATGTCCCTCCAACGTATGAGAGTCTTGGCTGCAATATGTCTTTGAAAATTCATTTTCTTTATTCTCAACTAGATTTATATGCGTCAAACTGTGATGAT